TGTTGCGGTTTTGTAAACTTTTCAGTGAAAATCTCACAATGAAGTTTCTGTTGAATACGTTATGGATTTTCGTCAAGTATCGGCCAATTCCATCACATAATTCACTAGAACTTTACCAAGTATCTGAAATTATTGATACAATCCTCCAATATTTTCAGTAAGGTTCTCCCAGATCGTACAACTTGCAGAGATTCAAGAAAAAAATGAACTCTTTAAATTTGTATGTCCAGTACCGATTTCAACTATTGCGGTGTTCAATCGGCAGTCAATCGTAATCAAAAATGAGGTGGTACTGACGCCAAACAAAAATTTATCATTCTTATATGGCCTACACACGTTACGATTTTTCGTACTGCTTGCAGTACGATATGCATCGGTACTGCCGCAGTAACGATAAATCATAACGTGTGTAGGCAAATTGGGTGTTTTGCAATATGCAGTCGTCGAATTGTTCGCAGTACGGAGCTTCCATAAAATATCGTATCAACGGACGTGTCTGGGGTGGGGGTTGTAGACAAGTTGGAACGTGTGGAGCTTATTGCTGCGGCAGTTACGAGTTCATATAGTTTAAAGCAAATCATTTAGGAAAAAGGGGTTTTACATATTTCATATCATTATAATGGATATGAAAAATAAGATGTTCTGGAAAGAGTTTATTGCTGTATATAAAGAAAACATCTGCCTGTGGGATGTAAAATCAAAAGATTACGCGAATAAAATAAAAAGAAATTCAAGGTACGATAAATGCCGTACGATTTTCTTTACAATTTGCAGTTCAACATGCAGTACGAAAAATCGTAACGTGTGTATGCCGCTTTAGTTCCTTCCACAAGCCAATATTGAAAGTTTCAAGATCTTAGGTTCGGAGATGCTGGATGAAATTCGCCATCCGGGAGGATCTTTGAAAATAAGTAGAAACTATTATTATTGTTTTCTGGATTCACAGTTTGAGTCAGTAATTTACATAGTTAAATATGTTAAATTATGTTTTCCGTTAACCAGCTGTCGCCCCCCATATGAACGTCAACTTTCAGAAGTGAAACTTGTGCGAGCTAAGTATTAACTAGGTCTTACCTTTTAAGGTGCGATTATTGTTCGAATACTTCGACAATGGATAAAATTAATGATATAATTCAGTAAATGGAAATTCTCAAAGTGAACTTCAATCAAAGTGAGCTTCAGGTGAAATAGTTAGAAGTTAGATTCACTGCAGTAGGTCGCACCAACACCGCGCAAGCCTAAATTGGGACTGGACAAAAAAAATGTGTTTCTTAAACCTATAGAATTATTTCAGGTTTTGTGATATCAACACATTTCAGGTACTTGTTGAAGTTTTTGAGAATCGACTGTGGTGTAAGAATTGCTTCCATTCAAGCGATAGTCAAAGTCGTAATGAAAAAAATTGCTGATTATTTGACGATCATACATTCACCAAAACTTCCGGAAATATCAAAGAAACTTTAATTTCACGATATTATATGAACATACAAAAAATACAGATCTGTATTTAAAATGTCAAAGTTGTCAACAGACACCCTACTCGTATTTTGAACGTTCAAGAATTTCGAAATATATTTGTATTTCTTACCGTTTACGAAATCCCAGGGATAGACTCGAATTTGAAAGGCGATGAACATTAGTTTTTAGGTGGATTCTCTAAGAGGTCTGATCAACAATGTAAGGTTCAAAAATGTTTTTTTCCATTTGAATAACAGGGTAGATCATTATTATTGTCCTCTTTCAAAATTAAACATGAACTTGACAAATTCAAAAGTTTTCATTAATACTGATTTCAGTAACCTGTTCATTGTCAATGTCAGTGATTCAAAGTGGATAAAGTCTATTGAAAAAACCACAAAAATGAAAACGTCAGTAGTACGTACTTTACATCCGTAATTTTGGTCACGTTGAAAAAATGTATCATCATAGAATCTTTTTACATTACGAATTGAAGACCGAATATTTTGAAAACAGATGAGTTATATATCATTTTACCATAAGTTTGATAGTTTCAAAAATATTTGAATTGTTACAAGTCCTCATTTCTTCTGGAAGACGTTAGTTGAAACCAATTACAGTTCCCGAATGAATTATTCTTTCAATTCATTCATTCTCAGAATATACCTTGGTAATGAGAAAAATGTCCTTTTTCCCCCTTAATTCATTTCTTCCATACCTCCTCTCTGATTATCATGAAAACGGGCTATGAAGGACGGCAAGCAAAAAAAACAAAGACCAAATTTGCTCAGAAAGAAATGAAGATTTCAAAAATAATTTTCGCTTCAGGAGAAGCAGTGGCGTATCAATAATTCCTTTCGAATAAACAAGGCATTGATGAATATAAACCAGTCAGAACAGTTCAATACTAGAATTAGTGATTAAATAATCACAATAAAAATTCACTGCAAACGTTCAAAATAGCATTTTCGTCAATGCCAATATTATTCGTAACTTCGCAAGAAGCAAAGTTCAATCGTTTTTTAAAACATTTCAGCTTGAAAATCAAAATTTCGGATCATCAACAATCATAGTTTATAAATGATATCCCACCATACTGGTTTCAACATATTCACGGTCAATGTATGCCTAATAGAGGGGGGGGTTAGCATTAAAATCAAAATATCTATGTTCTATTCGTCAAATGTGTCAGTCATTATTGTTTTTTTTTTGTAGAAGTATTTGAGTTTCAGAAATAATAAATAAAATGAATGAAATTTGATATCTCCATTCATTTTGTATTTTGCTGGTTAACGGAAAATAAGAAATTTCACATATAGTAAGGGCGCATACTTGAAAACTGGCTGTGAATAAAATTATCTAAAAGAATAATTCGTTCAAGCCAGTCTCAACTCACCTACACTGAAGGTGAATGGACTGCCACCTATCAGAAAACAACTATTTCCTGGTTAATACCACGAAAGGCGTTGGATTATATCCGACAGGTGATAGGTTTCAGTACATCAACCTACAGTGTAGGTGGGTTGAGACTGTCCTGAACGAATTTTTCTGTTGGATAATTTGATTTAGAGCCAGTTTTCAAGTATACCCCCTTACTATATGCGACTTTTTTTCCTTATACGAGGAATTTGGCGATTCGGAAATGCGGTTGGTTAGTTCCTGGTTTACGGGCAGATGGGGCGATGACAAATATTTTGTTTGTCGTTCACTTCAGCCTAGTTCGAAGAATGATACTCTGAAAATAATTCGATTTTCAAATATGGGAAATCGTCGACTTCATGTTGGTGATGGATACTACCTTGCACTGACGAATGGCCAAATAGCCCGAAACCGATCTGCAAGTGTGCTCCGATAATCGAAAATCGATTTCGGCAGTTGTACCTATCGCCAACAGCATATGCAGGTATTACTTCTGTGAAGAATCCTACATTGACACCTGTCGGATATAATCCAAAGCCCTTCCTGATATTAGCCAGGGGAGTAGTTGTTTTCTGATAGGTGTCAGTCCATTAACCTACAGTGTAGTTGAGTTGAGACTGGCCTAAACGAATTATTCTTTTAGATAGTCGGAAAATAAGATTTCAAATTTATTTACTTGGTAAGGTTTCGGAAAATCAAATTCCCTCTTTTACAGTTCTGTTCAACTTGTATCTGGTCTGACCTTCATCATAGGCTCTACGAATCTGGCATTCGTTATCCCACCAGATATCGAAAGCCAGAATATACACGACAGACGGACAGGCAGACAGAGTACAGAATTGAACAAAGAAATATTTTTCGATTCTAGGGGGCCAAATGAAAAAAAAAATCATAATTTAGTATATCAGTATACTACGGTGACATTCTCAACTGAGAATATCAACATTTTTCATCAAAATAATACTTGGGGAGATTGACAGAACATTTTTGATGCACTTGAAGCACTCCTTATCTATAACCCCATACTTTTTCGTGAGAAAAGTAGTGGATGAGGTATTGTTTCCGACCTGAGGGAAGAGTGATGAGGAAGCGTCCTTCAAAAATGTATTTTTTTAATCCGTAGACAAAATAAGAACACGAATCTACTAATAAAATTGATTTGTTTTATTCCAATAGAACAAGTAAACACAAAACCGTTCCAGTTTCGTGTTTGTTCATCGAGTTTCCTGCTTGTAGCATTTTTTAAGTTCAAGACAACGATTTATTTACTGAGTGAAATTACGGAAAACAAAGATGAATATTTTCGACAACAACGACGAATCCCCAAAATAGAATCTAATGAGATGACTTTCAGAGAGCTTTCCAATCAATTAGTGATATACCAATCCAACTAATGAAGCTACCATGAGCGAAACGCGTCTCAAATGAAATTCATTGTGAAAATTCTATTAGGTAGATAAATATTTGTTTTGAGGGCACCTCGCGATTTTGATAAAATTATTCAGTGTACATACGTATTTTGATGCGCAGATTACGAATCCGAAAGAAAAAAGTGCCGCTCTCCCTTATTTACAAAGTTACGGCCTGTCAAAGTTCTGAAAAGGGCAACTTTTCAGCCTTCTTTTTCACAAGATACACTATTTAAATACACTAGGTCACCTTATTTCTCTTTTCTTGACACTTTTCACTTCAACAATCAACCTTTTTCCAATAAAAATGTTAAAAAAAACTGGTAATAACTATGCTATTTTTGAAATGTTATAATGTTCAACGTATCTCTAACTCAACAAAGAAAACGAAAATTATTTGAAACATTAAATGATAACAAGTTGGAGAAGATCAACAATTGCATTATCATGTTGTATTGTACAACCATTATATTAATTTTTTTTATCAATTGTCTCTCAAAGTTTCACATATCTAGTTCAAGGCTATCCATAATGAATGCATAAACATTATGATTCAATTTATAATTCCACAACAAACTTTTTATTCGTACCGATCTCTTCCCTCGTATATATTTTCATTCACTGTAACCTCTTGAAGCGATAACAACAGTTTTACCATAAAGGTTAACTGGTAAAATTAATTAATTCATCGGAATAGTTCTTTTAAGTACTCACCAAAAATTTTCCTATAAATTATTGCATTTTGTCAACTGAAACACCATACACAAATGTTGGGTTCGTTCATATTAGCTCTGTAGAAATTCAACTATTCGTTGGTTCTATCGTTTTGTTACTGATATAGTTATTACGTCGACAGAGGTTGACATGCTGTTAATACTTCAACACGAACGCAAACGACAATCTACATATTTAGACAAATTCAACGAACCGAAACTAGTTTTCTTTCGAATTAATTTTCATGCCTAAAAATACATCTGAATTTCTTTTAAATTTGATCGAAACATGTTTACCGCACGTCAGCTTAATGCAGACAATCTCTGAACAATAGGACGTGATTACTAAAGTAATTATCTAAGTGAAGGTAATTTCAAAAATACAAGGTGGATACACTAAAGTTGGCTTTGTGAAAACATGAAATAATATTAATCTGATAGGTTGATCATGACCAGGTTATATCGTTGAATAAAAAATTATTCAGAAATACACCTACATGTTCTAGACCAGGGGTCGGCAAGTAGTTTTAGGTGGGGTCCGGATACTGTGGGAAAATTTTGACGTGGTCCAGTAAAAACAACTGATAAAAATTGAGTGCTACCTTTGTATTATTTTGGTTTCAAATCAAATTCTGAATTATAAAACTCAAGACCCAAAATTAATGTTACACCGACGGTCTTGAGCCAGTTTTTATAGTTTGGTTCTCGAGAGAAACAGCAAATTCGAGGTGTGTCTTTTAGGTGAGCGTCCGTTAATTTCGAACGATATTTACTTTTCGAAAAATTAATATTTGAGAAAGATGTTTCACATACATATATCGAGCCAAACATAGTGGCCAAGTTTATAGCTAGTTTTTTGCAATTTTCATATTTTTCTGGGACATGTTTGGTCCAAAATTTTTCAATGGATACCGTGTTATACATTTGCAAAGACACATCTTCTTGCAAATCAATTATCTCTATTTGAAGTCTTGCCTTTGCCAGATAAAACAACTTGGCAGCCACATCTGCCCATTCTGCTGCTAAATCAACTTCAAATGGCGATTTAAGAAACCGATAGCTTGCCCATCTCTGCAAAGTCTTGGAATCTTGTAGCAAATTTGATCTTAAGATCGGCCAGAAATTTAATAAAAAGTTTTTGTGAAAGTACTGCTGAGTTGTTTCGTAGTGTTGCTTCAAATTGCCAATCTTAACAATAGCGACAGTTTTATTGCATATAAGGCACACTGGAACCGCTTGAGGCCTATCAGGCAGCGTAAAATAATATTTTTCAGTCCATTCTGTCAGAAACCTCCTATTTTCAATGTTCACTTTTCGCTTTTTAGGATCCATATTAGCATAGGTACGAAAATATGAAAACGCGAAAAATCACAATACAAATGAATGGTTGCTCCGCGGTTTGTGCTGCGACTGACAGTCTGCTTGGGTCACAAGCGGGCACAAACACACACAGGTTAGATAGGAAACTAATAAAACCTTAATCAGTTATAGGTACTTGTAAAACAGGTTGACTAGGCAACTTGACATAAAATAAGTACACACCAAGTTGAATTCTATGTGGCTTAAAAATATTACTTTAACTAATAAAGGTATAGTATACCTTATCTACGTATTAATTTATACTTGGTATATAACACATTACAATCTTTGGCGGTCCGAGGTTCGCCTGTTGCCGACCGTTGTTGTAGACTATTCTGAAGGCACATTTGGAATAAACTGAAATCAGGTCAACCCAAAAAATATTTTTATTTAGTTTTTCATCAATAACAGCTGATTCTATAGCAATTGCAACGCCTAGTCTACAGTTTCCTCCGCCATCCGCACTACTCTCTTGAATCAAAAAGACATCTCAAAAAAATAATAACTTTATGTCTAAGTATAGTATTTTTAATGTCTTTTGTGAATAGGTTTCATTTATTTTTTTCAAAGACAAAACACAAGCACTACAGGAAAATCCTTAAGGCGAAAGTAGTGATTCACATTGGATTCGAATCGCTGGAGATTACTGATTAGGTACAGGAAGTTTATTCCACATGAACACCGTTCTCCAAATGAAAGAGTTCTTGAATAGTGAACCTCATAACGATGAGCAACCACAGACCGTCGCGTATTTCTGATATTTAGCACCCTTGGTCAAATCAAATGTGCCAAGTCACTTGAACAGCTCCCGTGAAAGTATCTATAGAAGAGAGATAAATCTCCAATATTTCTTCGATGCTCCAGAGTACAGTGTTCTGGTGTGGAACAGAACCAGAAAAACAGTGTTCCAAACCAAAAGCTTGGAAAAGTGTTCCAAGCTTTTGATGAGCAGCCTTTGCAATTCTAACAACATGATTGTGCCAAAACATATTGGTGTCCATTTTAACCCTCAACAAACTTATCGAAGCAGAAAGCGGAATTGTCTATCCTGGTACTATTATATCCGGTTCGTAGACATTTATCTTCTTGGAGAAAACCGATTTTTGTGGCATTGAATTGAACCTGGTTACTTTCACTTTAATTCGAAATTACTTTTAGATCCCCATTATGATATTCAACCTCCTGCTGCCAGTTAAGATGTGCTCCCGCAGCCGATGTTATGGGATTCAAATGTAATGATGAGATATGTGTGCTGTCGTCAGCAAAGCAATAATAATAATAATAATAATCCTTTATTTTATCATTTGAATGCACAAAGGTTACATAAGTGATTAAAAACGTCAAAATTTCAGTTACATCGTTACATTGAACAAGGACATGTCAACAATTACAAATTTACGTATACATGTATATATAAGAAACATCAATAATATAGTTTAAAAATAAAAAAAAGATCATAATTAAAAAAAATCGTCTGTTGAATAACAACACTTACGAAGTAGGATCATTTTCAGCCTTGATTTAAAAATATGACCATGAGGGGATGATTTTATATGATCATCAAGAATATTATAGAGCTTACAACCAATACAATAAAAATTTCTTTGGTTTCATGTGCGATGAAAATCAGGCTGCAAGAGATTTCTATGACGAGTGTTATAGCAATGATTGTTACCTATTGCAAACTTATTTTCATTCTTATAGATATAAGTGCAAGCTTCCACTATATATAAAATGTAAACTGTTAATACACCAAGAGTAATAAAGTATTCACGACAACTGGTTCTCATATCAATACTTTCCATAATTCGAATTGCCTATTTTTGAAGAATGAAGATCCGATTCATACCAGCACTGTTTCCCCAATTTAGTATACCATATTTCATGTTGGAGTGGAAATGTGCAAAGTACAGCGTAAGCAAGACATTTCTGCTGCAGTGGTCTTTCATATACTTTATGCTGTAGCAACTACTTCTCAGCTTATCAGACAATAGTTCTGTATGACTTGCCCATTGCAGATGTTTGTCGCAAATTACACCCAAAAGTTTCACCTCATCACTACAAGTTATTTGTTTTTCTGTATTTTTGAATACTTGTTTGAATATTTGAATATTTGTTTGAAGCGCCCATAAAATACTGTGACTGTTTTGGTATCGTCCGCATAGCACACTATTTTCATATCGTGGTTTCTTTCCATCAGACGGATTATATCATTTACAAATATTTTGAACAACAAAGGTCCCAATACAGATCCTTGAGGTACACCTTGATTTATTTCACGGTAACTACTCAAAACTTCATTCAGTCTAACAACCTGACTTCTGCCATTTAAATATGATTCAAATAATGTTAGCGGTATTCCTCCAGCGGTATAACTCCATACGATTCTAATTTACTACATAAAAGCCTATGATTGACTAAGTCGAAAGCTCTTGAAAAGTCAATGAAAAGACCCAGAGCATATTCACCCTTATCAAGATTGTCTACAAGACATTTCTGAAAATCACACAGAGCAGATTCTGTGCTAATATTTTTACAGAATCCATGTTGATTTCAGGATAACAAACAGTCTCTGACTACACAAGAATGATGAGCGTTAATTAGTGATGTCCATTTCAATGAGTTTAGAGAGACTTGACAATAAACTGATGGCTCTATAATTGGAGAAGTCATCAGAATTACCTTTTTTGTATAATGGCAGAACCACAGCTAACTTCAAACATTCTGGGAAAATTCCTTCAGAGTAATAAAGATTGATGAGAAAAGAAGCCAATGGTTCACATAAACCAGCATACGATTTTTTTAGTAGGTTATTTGATATTTCATCAAATCCACTTGAGTTGGAAGATTTCAAATTACCAATCAATATTTTAACATCTACAGATGTAACTTGCTTTAAGAAAAACGACTTTTTTGATAAGAAAAGCCAATGGTTCACATAAACCTGCATACGATTTTTTTTAGTAGGTTATTTGATATTTCATCAAATCCACTTGAGTTGGAATATTTCAAATTACCAATCAATATTTTAACATCTACAGGTGTAACTGGCTTTAAGAAAAACGACTTTTTTGACATTGGCATATTCAACTGGCATATACAATAACAAGAGAGTTGGAGACAATATGGATCCCTGAGGAACTCCAGCGTTGATGGTGAAAGTATTCGAGAGATATCCATCGACAGCCACTTGCAAGGAACGTTATATTTCAGGAAGCTGAAGAGTCATAAACAAAAATGATCCGACAAGCCATAGCATCGAAGTTTGGCAAGCAAACCCTCATGCCACACACGATCAAAGACCTTAGAAATATCAAGCGCAACAGCTCTTGACTCTCCATGTTTCTCGATTGCGTTATTCCAAATATGGGTCACATGGAAAAGTATGCCTAATGAATTTACAGATCAATGTAAAACTGTTAAATTTCAATAAGATTAATGGCTGTTGATTCCGGTGTGGCGTGTTTGGTCATGGCGTTGTCTTAGGGATTTTGAATTCGTTCTTTATATCAACAATGGTCATTATTTTATCATGTCGTATAAAAGATATGAAAAAACCTAACCTAACCTAACTTAAACCTATTAAAAGGGGACGATTTCATTACTCATAAAATTTTGTTATTTCATTACTTCTTCATAAAATAGATACTTTTGTTATCATGCCTCACATTTTGAGTGGTGCAAATAGAGGAAACAAAATATTGAATTTCCAAAAACTACTATTCGGCTCAAGTAGGAACATTCATAAACTATATAGATATTATTTCATGATTTTGAAAAAAATGATGTTGAAAATAATTGTAACTGGGAGAAAAATCTTCTAATTCGAACTACGTATACAAAATGCGAACTTTATGTGAGGCAGATGTTAAAAGCTCCTCCTCTCCATTTCAACTGTTGAACAGGACAAAAGAAATTATTCGTAGTATTTTTTGTGCCGAAAAGGAGTCTCGTGATACTC